AATATTAATTTCTGCTTATTTTTAGTATGTACGGGTAAATTTATTTATCACTTCGTGACCTTTTTTTACAAACTAAAAACTCTTGAAATCTTCATGCTGCTTCAATTTGACTCAAATATGTACCATCAACAAAAGTTCTTAATAACGTGTAGAACTTCAATTTTATAATTATTTGCTCTTTTTACCACCTATATAATTGTATTTGTATATATAAATCATAAAGCGACACATTATTGACCATAAAAACAAACCTACATTATCGGAACTTTGATCTTGAGATTTGTTTATTGTCATAACGAATGCCACAACGATTGGAAATTGCTTACGATACAAAATAAAAGGTTATGTTAAGGTGTTTCCTGTGTCTAAAGTTAATCTTGGAATGCAGACTATAATTGCAATTTTTTCTCAAGTTATTATTTCTCCTTCTAAGCTATAACAGAGATGAGTAAAGAGATTGATAACGCCAATGCTACGATGCGAGACGACTTTTTAGCACTGATCGGAGCGCTCCGCCGCGGCCAGCCGTCGAACCGGGCGCACATCTCAGTACTCGTATCAGATAGCGTGCGCCTACGAGAAGAGTAGTAGATTCGCGTGGAAATGGTCATATAGGCGCACATTTTGGAGAGACGTGGAAGGGGTACACCGAATGTGTGTCTACGAGGAGAGGAGTGGAAATGTTGACTATAGCTATATATATCTGAACGCACAGCCAAAGCAAGCGACGACACGAGTTTTTCTCTTTTGACTGCAACCGAGTATATCGTATATATATTAAACTGATTTTTGCTCTCGCTCTTTTTTCTTTTTCTCCTACTTATAACACTTATTTTGAAATTCAGTATTATTTTGGAAAAATGTTCAGCTATTTTTTTAAGGATGGCAACTATAATCCCTAATTAATTACTTTTCCTCATAACTGTTATGAACTGTAGGACAAGCTCCGAAGTTTATTTATGAATATAAGTGGCTTTTAGATGTCCAAGGATCGAAGTTTCGGTAGCTAAGTTGAATGATGCTTATGCCACCGCTCGAATTGTTTTGCTGTCAGGGGATCGATTCCAACTTTCTGCAAATTTTTTTTTTTTGCAGTTCATCGTTTTGTTTAAGTTTCTTTTATTTATGTTTTCATAACTGTTATGAACTGTAGGACAAGCTCCGAAGTTTATTTATGAATATAAGTGGCTTTTAGATTTCTAAGGATCGAAGTTTCGGTAGCTAAGTTGCGTGATGCTTATGCCACCGCTCGAATTGTTTTGCTATCACGGGATCGATTCCAACTTTCTGCAGATTTTTTTTTTTAATGCAGTTCATCGTTTTGGTTTAATTTCTTTTATTTATGTTTTATTTAAATTTATAAATAATGTTGCCAACTTTTTTTTTGATACGTTAAAATAAATATATTTTTTATACTAAATCTATTCAATAATTTAGTAAGTTGATACTTCTCGTTGGCAAGGCCATTTCGCAATTTCATAATAATAAAATAAAATTCTTAAGATGTAAGTGTAATTCATACATCGTAAAACTTAAAAGACATTATAAACATTTAATATTTTAAGAGAGAAAAAATCCGAAGGCACAAGAAAACTTATACAAAACTGCCTAAACATTTTGATTTGCGTCTTTTGTTGTAAAATGTAAATAATCACATCAGTGCCCATCTACTGCAATTACTGCAGGTTAAAATTTTAATCAGTAAAAACATGCAATTAACAAATGAGAGAACAAATCCGAAAGGACAAGAAAACTAACTTTCATTACAATAGCATCAAATTTAAATATTACCAGCAAAATTTTTACGTTCCTCACAATTTATACCTGGTGGTAACTACTTGTTATTTAAATAATTAATTTAGAGTAAGTGTGTGTGTGTTTTTTGTAAGGAAATGATTAAGCTGCTCCGATTAATAATATTTTATACGATGATTAATTATCCATGAAAATCATTTAAAATACGTAATAACCAAAAAACACTGCTCTTAACGTTTTAATTTAAAAAATAAAATCTTAATTATTCTGCATCACCCTGATAAGTTATAGTTTCTTTATTTTATTAACAAATCAATAATACATTTTGAAAAATTCGTTATGCCTTAGAAACATGCAAAAATTTTTTTTTTAATTATTGTCTGTTAAGTTTTACATTAGAATTATTTAATACAAA